CCGCTGAAGGGACTGCAGCACCGCCCAAATTTCGACGGAATCAAAGGCTTTCTCATAGTCCACATACGCCAGGCAAAGTGGCAAATTGTACTCTTCAGTCTTCTGTACAATCTGCCGCAGGGTATGTATGTGGTCTATTGTACTGAAGCCTTTTCGGAAACCGGCTTGTTCGGGAGGCTGGAAGTCGTCGAGTCTGCGTGCGAGACGATTCGTAATGACTCTCGAAAACAGCACGTAGACGCGGCTCAGAAGGGAAATCGGTCTGTAGTTCTTCAAGAGAGAGTTGTCGCCTTTCTTAAAGAACAAGACCACCGCACTTCTGCTCCACGCCTCTGGAGTAGTGCCACCATGGAGGACGGAATTGAAGAGCTTCTGAAGGACTTCCAGAACCGGTGTTCCACCCGCTTTCAGAAGCTCCGCTGTAATTCCATCCTCGCCTGCGGCCCTGCCGTTTTTAAGGTGCTGGAGAGCCATTCTAATCTCGCTTAGACTGACGTCCGGGATATCATCGGAATAGTGTCGGATAAGACTTGCTCTTGGATCGTTACTCACACTTGCGTGTGGCTCCAACGATGATGTGTACAGCTGCCCATAGAACCTCTCAATCTCACTCAAGATCTCAGGTGTCCCGGAAACGATGCTGCCACACTCAGTCTTCAGCTTTGACAGTTGGCTCTTTCTGGCTGACAGATCTCTGGCAAAGACTTTGGAGCCCTGGTTCCGCTCGATCGCTTCTTTAATACGAGCAGTATTAAAATTGCGTAAGTCTCGCCGCATGCATTTGGAGATCTGTCTGTTCAGTTGCCTGTATGCTGTCAAATCTGTTGACGATTGCAGCCTCATCTCCCGTCTAACAGCCATGAGATTAAGAGTGTGATCGGAGAGTTTTTGTGTTCTTCTGCGGTGGGTCTTGCAGAACTTAGCTCCGACCGCATGGACAGTTTCCACGAGCTTGTCATTCATATCGTCCACTGCATTGCAATCTTGTAGGCACTGAAAGCGGTTGTGTAACTCGAGCTGAAAGTTTTCGGGATTCTGGATTAGAGCACGAGGGGGACGGAGCGTTGACTTCATTAGACGAGACCTCTCCAACTTAACGTTTAGGTTCAGTGTGCCTCTAACCATTCGGTGATCGCTGCCAGTTTTCACCCTTGCGATCACTGAGACATCACTGAACAGTTGGCGTCTGGTCGTCATAATGAAGTCAATCTCATTTTTTGTCGAACCGTCGGGGCTCGACCAGGTCCACTTCCTGTGGGGCCGCTTCTGGAAGAAGGAGTTCATCATAAAGAGTCCCTCTTTCTCCATAAAGTCGGCCAGCTGCTGGCCCCTTCGGTTCCGTTGCCCTACTCCAAATTTCCCTAACTTCAGCTCACCGCTTTCTCTTGTGCCTAGTTTTGCGTTGAAGTCTCCCATCAACACCGTGTAGTGGGTTTTGGAGGAATGCATGGCTTTGGAAATATCCTCATACATTTCCTCTACCTCCTCATCGGGATGTGCCGAGGTTGGTGCGTAAACCTGTATGACCTTCAGCGAATACCGTTTGGTGATTCTGAGTATCAGGTACGCAACCCTCGTCGACACACTCCCAATCTTTACAACGTTGTTGACGAGAGACTTGTGGACGATAAATCCGACACCTCCTTGGGACAGATGGTCGCCCTCCCGGTGATAGAACAAGTTGCCGGATTCGAGAATCACCGTGTCCTCCCCCTCTCTTTGGACCTCGGCTACTCCTATAATACTCCAGCGCAACTTGTCTATCTCTTCTTCCAGCTCCAGGATCTTCTCGTCAGTCCTCAGTGTGCGTGCGTTAAATGTTGCCAGGTCGAGTCGTCGTAGGTGGCAACCGAACCTCCACCGGAGATTCTTAGCACCCCCTGCCCCGCCGTTACCATGGTCGCCACCGTAGCCAGGAATAGCGGGGCCGCCGGGGGGCCGTCTATTTGTGTAATTGTTCATGGGGGTATATTGCCATAGTTGCCACGCTTGGCGAGCGGGTTGGCAACCGCAGTTTTTTTTGTCGTACAGTTGCTGTTATCAGGAAGATGCTGCTGCCCATCTCCTGCCTGTCTCCCTCTGTCGCCTTTTACGACACCCACGGGAAGATATGGGGTAGTGGATATTCTTAACCGCCACTACACGGCACTTCCCTACGCCTATATTATTATTATTATTGTGGGGTATCTATATAGTTTTCTCATCTGGTTGGGTTCTATAAATATATAATTATAAATGAAAATGAAAAGATAAATATACATAAATATCAATAACATAAAATAAATATAAAAGTACATAAATAAATAAAAGCCCAACCAGATGGAGGCCCTCGGCAGGGGAGACCAAACGGCCGAGGGTTAGGGGGGAAGGGAAAGAAACCGGCGGACGATGCGGGCGGTATCGAGGAGCACCGCCTTCTGCATTTGAACCTGGAGCGGTCCGCCACGTAGTCCCAGCCGCCTCAGATGACCCGAGAGGCTGACTGGGATTAGCCCGTTTGCAGAGACGACTACAGGAATAATTTCGGTCGGCAGACCACCCCACATGTCGGTCACCTCGTGAGCCAGGTCCAGATATTTTGTTTGCTTGTCTGTTTCGGCTTTCACGAGGTTCTCGTCATACGGAATGGTAATGTCGACCAAAAATATCCTTGACTGTGCCCGGTCCATCAACACAATATCAGGCTTATTCGCAAGAATAGTCCTGTCTGTGATGATGGCCCGGTCCCAATAGAGCCTGGCGCGATCATTTTCGAGCACGGCTTCCGGCAAGTACTTGTAATACGGCAATTTCCGATCCACGAGACCGTATTTCAGAGCGAGCTCCTGGTGTAGAATTCTGGCTACTAGGTTGTGCCTGTGCAAGTACTCAGAGTTAGAAAGCGCCGAACAACCGGAGATAACATGCATAAGTGACTCACCGGGATGGCGACAAGCTCGACAGATGTCAACGGTGCCATCCTTTAGGATGTATCTCCGATAGTTGTTGGTCTTAATAACCTGATCCTGTATTGCACAGACAAAACCCTCGGTTTCCCCGAAGAGATATCCAAAGCGTAGCCAGTGGAGGGAGACTACTGTGTCTACGAAAGGCTCATGTAGAGCCTTGTAGAACCTCCCGTGGAGCTCCTTCTCCTTCCATACGGTCTCCAGGTCGGAAATGCTCTGCACTGCCGGGTCTTGCCATTGCTCGTTGGCTAATGATAGAGGGGTAAGTCCTTTATCACAAGAAATGACGTCCTTATAGAATGGATCATCCGATCTCGCCAGGAAGTAATCACGGAGGCTGCACACTTCGCGATTATGCATGGTGAGCGCGCTCAAGAAGCCACGACCACCATGCTTCCGCGGCAAGTACAGCCTCATTACCGACGATCTCGGATGATGCATCCTATGGGACGTCATGGTAGTGCGGACTTTTCTATCCAGGGCGTTAAGTTCAGTCTGAGTCCACCTGAGTATGCCAAAGGTATACATGAGGACAGGCATGACCCAGCCGTTATATGCGTGTGCCTTATTCACACCGGACAAAAGGCTGTTAAGCACTTTGGTCAAGCGTGCATAAAACACGTCGCAAACTGACTGTTTCATACCAGTCTCATCGATACCGATGTTTTGTGACATACCCAGGTATCGGTATGTTTCAGCCTCGGAAAGGATCCTTAAGTTGACGGGCATAGATAAGTCTACGGCCTCAGAGTTAGCCACCCTTCCCCTTTCAACATGGAGGACCGCACACTTATCCGTCCCCAGCTCCATTCCAATGGAATTGCTAAATTCACAAGTGATCTTTAGCAATTCCATAAGATGGGAGCGACTGGAGGCGAATAACTTGAGGTCATCCATATAGGTTACCACGTGCTCGGCGGTGAAGGAAAACATCGTGAGGAAACCTGCATGTCTGAGGAATAAGAAAAAAAATATTTCGAAGACATGTGAAGTTCGTCAACACGCACTTGGGCAGCGCGGCGGACACTTCCTTGCCCTAAACCCTCTCAGAAATGAGGGGAGGCCTGAGCCCAGCAGTGGGACGTATATAGGCTGTAACTTTACTTTACTTTACTTTACATCCATATAGAAAAGGTGGGTCACTTTTGTCCCTCCTTTCCGTAGCTGAAATCCCCTCCCGGAGCCCTCCAGTAAGGTACTGAGAGGGTTCAGAGAGAGGCAGAACCAGATTGGACTCAGACAATCGCCCTGGAAGATACCCCTTCTTATCCTTATGTGGTTCTCAGCAGCCATCATCCGCTCGCCCAGATGACAAAGGATCGTACTCCACTGCCCCATACACTGCTCGAGGAAGTCTCTAACTGTACAGTCTATCTTGTACAGCTCGAGGACTCTCTTTAGCCATGTATGGGGCACCGAGTAGAATGCCTTTCTGTAGTCTATCCAGGCGGCGGAGAAGTTCCGACGGTTGCGTTTCACCACTTTGCCAATGACCGCGTCAATGAGGAGTGGTTCCTTGGTTCCACGACCACCGCCCCGACATCCATTTTGAGCGCGCGACATCACCTGATTTGAGTCCAGGTGACAAGTGATTCTCGCGCTCAAAATGGATGTTAGTGTCTTGTATATGGTCGGTAGACACGTGATGGGGCGGTATTTGCTCGGGTCTGTGGTACCCTGGTCTTTAGGAACCAAATGAGTGATCCCAGTAGTGAAGAGGCTTGGGAGCGACTTCTGGTTGAGAGCCTCTTGAAACTGTCGGGCGAGCACAGAGTGACACACCATGAACCCCTTCAGCCAGTAGTGATGCAGCCCGTCAAGCCCCGGACTTTTCCAGTTCGGGGCCCTACGGACCGCCTCAGCTACGTCATCCGGCGTTATGATGACGGGGTCCATGGGCATAATACCCGCACACTGACTCGCCACAACTTCCGTCCAAGGGCCCTCGCTGTGGTTTACGAGCTCTGACCACAGGCCGCGCCAGAATGCTACAGTGTCGGCCTGATTCGGTGCTGGACCCGTTCCACTTACCATTGGTCGCTCCAATGATTCTTAGAGCCTCTTTTGATCACTCTGGAAGAGACGATTCTGGTTGAACCGTGTCGACCTCTCGGTATATCGCCGAATCCGCTTTCCCCAAGCAGCGATTCTCTGCTTCAGATCATCTATGCGCTCCGTCAGTTTTTGCGTTATATCCGGCTGGGACAAACTGACATTTGTCCCAGCAAACGCCATCCTGACGGTGCGCAAAATTCTTGGCCTGTTGTTGCCTGTTCTGAAGCATATCAGTCTGCCGATGAGAGCTCTAGCCTTTGCGATACGTTCCTCAATTCTTCTTCTCCATGCTGGGATAGCGCTACTATTGCCAGTAGCGCGTCTAGCCGTGGAAACCTTGGCGCCTATGATACGGCAGACTGCCAGCGCGGCGCTAAAAAGAATTGAGTCCGTCTCGCAAAGGTCCCGGCTGGCTTCCAAATAGGTAACCAGCATTGGGTTCAGAGCCCTCACGACAGCCCGATTCCGCTTGCTTAGGGCTATGCGGGGAAGTCGCGGTCGATTTTCGAGAGGCGTACTGCGCGTTTCCACAATCGCCTCTTCCAATATACTCCTCATATGCTCTAATATATATATATATATATATATATATATATATATATATATATATATATATATATTATTAGTATTATTATTTATGGTACAATTTTTGTCGCATGCCAGCGCTTACTTTTGGTTCTGGCAAAAAGTTGTGAAACGTCTGTGAACGTCAAAATTGTGCAAATGTTGGTCGCGGATATTTTACCTGCACTTCAAAATTTTATTGTGTGAGTATTTTAAACTATTTCTACGGATTTGATGAATCATATTAAATAAAAAATAGTCTCCTATCTTTCTCTCTATGTTTTGATCTTCTAAAACGAGTTTGAGTTGGTAAAATCAAGGCAAACTTAGGGTAGGGTTGTCAATTATTATTTTGATAATAAAACTAGTGAAATTCCGCGGTTTTATATGCGCAAGCGTGAACGTAGTTAGAACATAATATAACCTTTATGTTTTACATAAATATCCTAAAAAACTTATTATTTTAATATTTTACTAAGTACCTATAAAATTAACAAGTTTATTGCATTTTTATTTGAGTAATTTTTTATGCAATTTCTTTATCTACTTCTATTTTTAGGAACCTTTATTTAGTCTGAATCATACATTACACTATATTACTGATTTACTTACTTATACGTAGTTTTCTTTTTTTGCAGTTACAAATATCTTGTGAGGTTGAAAAAGGCAGTAATGAAAAAATAATAAGAATAATAATAATTGACGTCAACCACTTCTTTTCATAAAAATTTCAGATCATGGTCCATTAAGTTGCAGCTTCACCGAACCACAACTTATAATAATAATAATAACAGTAATAATATAATATTATTTTGTATTTATTTTATTTTATTGATATTTATGTATATTTATCTTTTCATTTTAATTTATAATTTTTATATATTTAATATTTATAGAACCGAACCAGATGAGAAAATTATACGGCTCCAACGATTTTAGCGACGAACGCTTGGATTTATATTTAGAAAATGTCCTTTTGTCCATGTTTTCAGGCAATAAAAAAACTGCTACAATATAAGAAGGTAAATTTCGATAAATCACTAACGGTCATTATAGCTCAGGTGGTATGTCGGTCGGGCGTGATATCGGAGTTCCGTGGTTCGCGTCTAAGCTTTGGTCCCGCTTTTTTTCCCTTTTTTTTTCAAGTTCCCTTCTTTTTGTGAGAAAATCTATTATTTCAAACCCTTTTTTTTAATAATTTTTAAAAATACGAAAATTTTAATTTTAAAAATTTAAAAAAAAATCTATTTAGTTACTAATGCTATATTTATTATTGTAATAATTACATACCCAGTAGGTAAATATTAAAAAAATAAATGTAGCATTATAAACAGTAAATCTCCCTCAAACTCAATTTACTAATATTGTTCCTAAATAAGGAATAGCAGATAAAAGATTAGTAGGTAATAACTATTGCTCCTCAAAATTATATTTGACCTCAAGGTAAAACATATCCTAAAATTCAGTAGCTAAATAAAATAATAATACCTACTATTCAAGTATATTTTCAATATGTAAGTAAATGTAAATAACAAAAATGAAGCACCATTAGCATGTAAAGTTCGAATCCATAATTAATATTTCGACAAATATTATAATTTACACTATAAAAAGCTAATTCAATATTAGCAGTATAGTATATATCAAAATAGTCATTTTTATTAATTAGATAATATATTAGAATACATAATTCTAATATAATACAACTAATATACCGAATAAAGAAAATTAAAATACATTTATAATTGTACGCCGTGTCTATTTCCATAGAATAGTTCATTGACATTGAAAAAATAATACTAGTATATATAGTAGGTGGCGTCTTGAAGATTTCTTACACGATATATTGTAGCGAGCGTCGACAGACCAAACGCTCAAGGTCGTTCGCTGGAGGTATCGCCTTAAGGATAAATGTAAAACTCTATGAGCCGAAGTATCTACTAACCAGGTGGACTGTGTGCTTATTTGACATTCTTATTCTGTAAAAAAAAAACGTTATTGCACTCCGCTGTTAGTCGGAGAAGGATCCGAAGACCGAAGACCGATGGCGAAAAATGCATTTCGGGTTGGCATTAATAGACCCGCCTGCTTATAGTGGTCAGTATGGACAACTGTTTCAAAAACTGTATACCTTTCAATGCAATGTATATTCGAAAAGGCTTATGACTATTGGACTTTAAAAAAGGCTGACGATGCGATTTTAGATACTACCAGCTTTATTTCGGACATTTTGAAAGAGATGTGTTTCCGTGTGTCATGTAGCAACTAATAGGTGAGCCAACACAAAGCATGAGCCGCCAAAATATTTGACAATGTTATAAAATACTTCTACCCTATCGCTTGTCAAAGGCTTGAACTAGAAAGGATTACCGGTAGTTTCACGGTTGGATGTGCCGCTATGCAGCAAGACCAAAGTGCAAGGCATTCTTTTAGCTTCCGCTTTTTTGTTTTAAGTCATTAGTTCAGAGCGATTTCATAAAAATGTTGAAGTGATTAGTGAAAAAATAAAATGTTGGCGATGAAATGTAATATATTATACTAAACGCTGACGTTTATTAAAAATAAATGTGGTGTAGACTGAATAATTAAAAAAAATGGTGGCGTGTTAGCACACGTGTAAATTATCCGCTGTGTTAAAATTGAAGTCTAGTTTCTAACATTTTGCTATTTTGTCTTTCCCAGTTTATAACAATAAAATATTGCAAAGGTACATAGTTATGTAAAAGTATCTACGCATCTTTGTATTATTTTTTGTTTTAAAATAGATACCTATATCACAAAAGTTTACTCTCAATTTTTACTAATTCTGTTAAAAAAATTAATGTATTATGCTATAATGTGGCAGCATTAGTTTACATACATAGAAAGAAATTATAGAGGTTATATGTCCTAGACAGCTAAACCTTTTTATTCGTCAATAGAATGCTTGTATATCAGGTGAAAATAATTTGAATAAAAAAACCAAACATATTTTATTTCATTTTAGTGAAAAATACATAATAATTACGGTTTTTTAATCAATTTTTCGCTAAAACATTATAACAAAAAAATTCTGCTATAAAATGCCTAACCTCCTGTGGAATTCACCTACAAAAATGACATTATATATGGTATGTGTGTTGTTACGCGAATATTGTAAGTTTGGATACGCAAGTCATATCAGAGCATGCTACTCGTAAATAAATCGTAAGTCGTTATTCTAGTCGTTAGTTCATGTTGCAAAAATAGCGCAAACGTCACATAATATTCTGGTAAAAATTATACGAAATGCACAATTTTTAAATGAAATAAATCTTCTAACTTAGACCATACAAAGATTTTGTTATATGCGTAGGTGTCGTGAAGAGATTGATTTTAAATAGTCCCCAAATGTATTGTACTGGAGACATGCTTTGTTCCCGCACATCAGACGTACTCTTGTGCTCGCATCGTTGATTTTGCTAAATGTCGCCTTCAGGAAATACGATTTTAACAGCGAAAACATCGGAATTACAAGTCATTATGATTCACTTCATTGCCTTCGGGCAAAGGGGTATTATTGTCATTTTACCCTTTGATTTTATACTGTTTAATCTAAACAGTCAGCGAATAATACAATTTCCTTCTTTAGTAGACATTGCTTGTTGTGTTGATACGTTTTGTCAATTTTTTACGAATATTATAACGTGTGTGTTAAAACCGATATGCATGAGACGTTATTATTAATAACTATTTAATGGCGATGTGACACAGCTAAAGATTCTTCATTTTCGGTTCTCTGTTTCACTTCTTCTTCAGGTTGGAGGAGTGATTCATGGTATCATATACACTGGTATTACTGTGAAAAACGGTATAAATATTGGAACAGTCATATACGTAAATTGTTTATCTTTAAGCTCACTGATCTTCCACCTTTATTGCAGTGCTAGCAGGAGTTGTAATTTTCAAGAATAAAAAGAAATAAATTATTAAATGTATGGGATAAAGTGCACATCGAAATTTATATATATATATATATATATATATATATATATATATATATATATATATATATATATATTTTTTCCCAATTAAACTTAAGGGTAAGATTTAAGAACATTTTGTTTCAATGTTTACATTTACAGATCGACAGGCTTTTTAAATTCACTGATAGGATCTTTTCAAGAATGTACTAACTGGTGTGCATTACAAAAGGTTGGTGAGCAGAACTGCACTTTTATTATAGATAATCAAAGGTTTATAAATCCCATGCGTTGCGCCTAGAACAAAGGCGATGTGACATCTTACATACGGTTTCATATATTTCAAATGGTGGTTGTGCTGTGCCTGTGCCTGTGCTTCAAGGCCTTTTTAAAAACACACCATATAATGTATTGATAGGAAAAAATAGTCCATATACTCACTACTTTGCTACCTAGACTTTCCAGGCGGCTGCCTACTAGGATGTAAATATTTGGGGGCTCTATCGGTATTCTAAATAATTAAAAAACTCAAAGTATTAAAGTTCAAATAAATATAATATTCAACAATATATTTAAATCTTGTTTTGTACATATATTTTTGGTATTTAAAGTTTTGTATTAGAAAGGAATTATTTACAATGATTCTTAATTCAAAAAAAGTGAAATTTTTGCTATCAAGAAGTGGACTTAACTCATTATGAGAAGGGTTCGCATCAGGTACGTCCGTATGGTGCGATTGGCATTTTATGATATAGAAAAACAGCCATTTATTAAAGTAGAGAGCCCTTAGTAATTATTGAAACTATTCCGGCATATTCGCTACCTGCCGACAATTTGCCATTCGCCCCATTGTCTGCCGGCGTGGCGCCCTAAAGGGTTCTAATTTTCAATGCAGCGTGTAACTATTCCCGCCTTTTATTCGTAAATTTC